GGCATCCAGCCATCTCACATGGCATCCAGCCATCTCACATGGCATCCCAGCCATCTCACATTGGCATCCCAGCCATCTCACATGGCATCCCAGCCATCTCACATTGGCATCCAGCCATCTCACATTGGCATCCAGCCATCTCACACCGGCATCCAGCCGTCTCACATTGGCATCCAGCCATCTCACATTGGCATCCAGCCTCCCTTTGATGGCGTGTGACCCCCAGCCAAACGACAATTCAAAATTTCAACCGAATACAACGACCAAATATTCTACGATGACATCTAATGAGCGTTCCATCTCTCGCAGTGAGCGCTTCAAAGAAAGAGCGAATCACAACCATCCGAGAGGTCATATCACACTGAATTCGACGCATTCGAACCAGGCGAATTGACAACTACGGTAGCGCGAAACACTAAGTGTATTACACCCCTTCTCGAGCAAAATCCTCTTTGCTATTCAACCCATAGTCCCCATTAGATTGAAATTTTCAATCGGAGACGTCGACCCGAATCGAGAGATGCCGAACGCTACCTCCCAAGAGTACTACATTATAACTAGTGCCTGAGCTTTAGTCAGAAGTCCTGTAAGCTCCTGTCCAGGGACGCCGCGTGGAGGCACTCAGGAAAGTCCCCATTAACTAAATGATAACTGAATGCTTATCCATCCAAAACCCCAACCACAACACAAACCATTCGCTCGCTTGTTGACCTAGCCCAATAAATTGACCTTCATGGAGCACTGTTGCAACTCAAAGCTTATCCAAAGTGCTCGGACAAATCGATTAACTGGGCGTGCGCACAACAAGCACCAAGATCTCCATTTAATATCATAGCGCTGTACTCGGCTGCTGCATCGGTAGACTGTACAGGGACAAGGACCAGGGTTGGGCGCGAGCTGTTTTAGAGAAGTTGGTTCTGAACTCTAGAATATGAAATTGGTGATTTGAAATATTTTTGGAGCTTAAACTTGGATACAGATTTTTTCAACGTGTACGATAATATATTATATACCTGCTTCTCGCTGCGTTTCTTTCAATAGGTAAAGGGATGGTATATAGTAACTGAGAGCTACTAAACTGTCACGTGGTAGATATTGAGTTCAACAACTCGCCGGGTCATATTTGTAGAGATGATCCCGGGGTTCTTCGATCAACTGCAAGGGACAGTGCTTCCCGAGTGGTGTGCTTTCGAAGAAGAGTGGCATCCGAAATTCGGATTCCGAATGAGCGGGCTCGAGACCTCACATCGCTGAGCACGACTAGATGTAATTGCAAACTCCAGGCGGACGATATTTTATTCCCACGCTTAACGGTCTAAGTTGTCGGGGTGGAGGAATTTATGGAACATGATTTCGATGCTCAACTTGGCTTCACCCAATTTGGCGGCACTCCGGAGGGCAGGCTGGCCATCGACACCATGCTTTGCACACTTGATCCAGTGCGCCGTCAAATGTGAGACCTTGGCGAAAGATGGCCGATCTAAGAAGCTCTGTGACTTGGGCATGGCCGAGATCCTCAGACGGCAGAGTCAGACCACGAGTGATGGAGAGATGAGATCAGAACTTTCTTCGAGGTTGTGGACTCTGACAGATATGTCTGCGACATCGGCTTTGCTGT